TTCAGGAAGCTGCCAAGCGAAATGGGGGAGATCTTAAAGCGCAAGCAGCAACAGAAATTTACCTTGTTTCAAATTGTTCTCCGCACTTCTCACACGTGTTGTCAGAACCATTTGTAGCTACCTGTAACTTATCAAGAAATATATAAGAGACATGGTCCAGAACCGAAATGTTATGACGAGAAAAAATTATTGGATAAGCATCTCGATATCGACATTACTGAAGTAGAGCTTAACTATGTTCAGTAACTAAAGGAATGATGTCTTCTTAAAAACTGGAACTTTTTATCATTTTTGCAAAGCTTGAAAACTGGCAAAATAGGGATGCAGTGGAACAGAGACGCAGATACCAACCCGACCAGACCCTAATAAGATGGGTATGGGTAGTTATTGGCGAGTTTGAAAGGAAAGAGATACAAAATTAATATCTATTAACTGAAGTAGAGCATCCAGGTATACCACCTAGGATAACCGCTACCCAAGCCCTTTTATATCTACTGCATTATGCACTTTGAGGAAACCTATTGGATACATTTGCATTTAACGTGTTGGGCTTTAATTTAGCCAGGTTTTACGTTATTATAAGCTTAGCAAGAAGCACTTTTTTTTTTAATTATTAGCTTTTGTGAATATTTAAATAGTCATTTAAAATTTTAATTTGTGTAAGTTTTTCAACAAAACCAACCAGGTTATGAGATGGTATGGGTAGCATAATGGTGCAAGAAATATATTCGGGATGGGTACCAGGTGATTGATGAAATTTCTTAAGAGGGTTGAGACAGGTATGGGTCAGATCGTTAAAAAGGGTTTGAGATTAAGAGGGTTGAGACAGGTATGGGTCGGATCGTTAAAAAGGGTTTGAGAATGGATACACAGCCCTTAAATGGTGGATACCCCTACCTACTAACGTCTCTCCCCAACATCCCAAAACAAGTCAAAATAGTTTTGATAAACATCCCAGCACTAATTAGAGATGCTATCATAGCCAAAACGGTGCCCAGCAGAACTTATTCGCCAATACAACACCCAAATATCCGAAAAAACTTTTCAAAACCACTTACCCTTTCTTTTCTTCCTTTTGATGCAGCTTTCTGCTTGGAAACACTTTCCTTCTTTGTTGGATCTTTCTTTTTTGCAGCATTCTGCAAACGTTTATTCTTCCTTTCTATTTTATGATCTGCTCTCTTAGTCCCAGATTCTGGTAAGGAATGAGAACTGGGCTCCCCAGCATCATCAACTTCCTCATCATGTTCCTCAGGCACACCACTTTTTTCTGCCACATTTGTTTTCATAGTTTCCACTTGTTCTTTTTCTTCTTCTTGAGCTTCACCCCTCCTCCTCCTGCCACCTCTATTCCTCCGTGAACCCTTTGTGTCATTATACTCCATAAACTCCAATTCACTGCTATCTTCAACTTCGTTAGCTGGAGCCTTAGGCCAATTGCCCAACTTTTTCCTGCTTTTATGCCCAGACAACATAGCTTCAAGGATGCTCATCTCATTGTCATCTACAATTTCTTCATTATTGCTATTTTTATCATCATCTTCGTCATCAATAACAGAAAATTTGTTTGCCATACTGGATTTAGTCTGCCCATCATCACTGATATTTTCTTGAATACCAACATTTCTCTCAAATTGCTCCCGCAACTCATTTACCTCCTCATCAGCTGACAAATAACCAACATCGTTTTCATCATCTGCTTCACTTCTGTTCCCTTCAGTTGCAGCTTCATATTCTTTATCTTCCTCGCTAAATGCTTCCCTCAATTCCGCCACTTTCTCTTTGTGCTTCTTAGACTGCTCATGGTTCTTCCATTGTTTATCGCTCTTGAATTTCTTGCTGCAAACTACACAATAAAACTCATTTCTCTTCTCCTCCACCACATCCTCGACCTCGTCGTCTTCAATTACCTCTACCTTGGCCCACTCAGGCTCCTCATAGTTCCTAGCTTTCTCTGCTTTCTCTCTCTCCAACTCTTTCTTTTTCTGTATCTCCTCCTCTCTCTTCCTCTCCATCTCCGCACTCCTCTTTAATTTCATATCAATTACTCTCTTATCCCTCTTCTTTACAAACTCTGCCAGTCCCCTCACTGTCTCATTATACTCTCTCTTAGCTTTTTTCCTCAACTTCTTATTCTCCTCCTCCATTTTCCTCCTTGATCTCCTGTTTGGTCCAGCCATAGCATCATATTCATCCACCCAAAAGAAGTCCAGCACGGTAATAAAACCTAACCAGTAGTTATAAAATGCTGTGACCTGCAAAGGAAAAGAGAATTACATTTAGTCTAGCAAGACAACAAATATTTAAAATTAAATGCATAGCCAGTTTGTAAGCGACTGTCTGTTATGCTTGTTACGGGCAGTTTAAGGCGAACTCCTAGTTCTGAGAATTGTATGCTTCACCTATACCAAAAATGGCACAAAGATTACATTATTAGCACAGTTATGTTATTGAACCAGATTTATTAAGTTTATTTTGTAAGTATGAGCCATGCTCATTAGAATTAGGGTATCTCAGTAGGTTATAGTCATTAACAAATTGTAGTTCTGTTGATCATTTTATCAAGAACAAGATTGACGTGGAAAAAGGGGATTCAGCATGAAGATTTGAACTTATATACACTAAAAAGAAGGAATCTTTATCTTTCATGCAAGTGATCTGATATATTACCTATAGAGATTTGCCAATATGGCTAGAACGCTTCTTCTTTATTTAAATCTTGAAATTTACCACTAAGTGCACACTCGCTGCTAACCCATTTAGTCAAAGCAGCTAGAGTTCATGTTACAACAATTATTAAAATATTTCATGCATCAATTTTATTGATGAATGACTACAGATGCAAAGAAGCATAAAATGTGAAAAGTTTGAACCTAGACCAGAGTTAACAACAGCCACTTGAGAAATTGAAAAGACATCGCCTTAAACTCAGACCTTCGGAGTCAAACTTCAACAGTTAAACAAACAATATTGAAACAAGGATATCAATAAGCAGGTTAGTACAATGAACTACAACATTTTTTACATTCCACCCACCCTAACACCATATTTTGATAGCACTACACCTTAAGGGTAGACAAGGGTAATCAATTCGATATCCTTAAAATAGTGCATAACTTTTCCACAACAATCACAGACTGAAATCCACACTATCAACTATCAAGTGATACTAAAATCCAACCTATCACTAAAATGCCAATGGCATGGCATCAAACTTAACTATCCATATCAATGCACTAAATAAATTCTAAACCTCACTAAGCTTGGGCTAAAGGCGGTTCAGTTCATTCTTAGAGCTACCTTGTCACGTATTCCATCAAAACGAAACCGAAAAAATTGCAAAAAGGCGACTACCATGAAAATTGTCAGAAAACGAGAACAAGAAGAGGGAGAGGAGTAAGATGTCCCGTATTGGCATAAACAATAAGAAACTGGGACTATGGGATAATTTTTAGTTGAACAAGCAATACATATAATGTGGACGATCAAACCACATAAAACAATAATTCATTTGAAAAGAATTCTCAACAGCCAGAAACAGGCTAGCAAAATAATTCAAAGAAAATACAAATCTTGCCTGAGCATAAGGACTCTCCAAACGGCCCATCACCGGAGCTTCCCTCGGCAATGCCAGCCCTAATTTCTTAGCGAAATTTAACTCATTGGCATAAATCTTGTCAAACAGATCCCCATAAACCTTGTAGAAGCCCCGCCCCGAGTCCGAATACCCATTATAGACCGAATTTGAGAAGAACGAAAACAAATCGGGCACGAAACCCGACGACCCACTGGCGGCGGAGGTCGAGGAGAAAAGGATTTGGTTCCGGTGCGAGTCGTACCAGGCTCGCTCTCGTGGGTCGGATAGGACCTCGTAAGCGTTGACGAGCTCCTGGAAGGCGGCCGTGGCCTCCGCTTCTGGGACGCCACTTCGGACGAGCTTGTCGGGGTGGCGCTGAAGCGCCAGCCGCCGGTACGCCGACCGTATTTCGTCAGCCGAGCAGTCGAGGCCGAGTTCGAGGACTTCGTACAAGCATCGCTTTTCCGACGATGCCATTGATGGGGGACAGGAACAAGAGATTCGATTTCTCTTCTATTCTATATCCTTCAAATGAAAAAAAAAACAACAACAACAACAACAACAACAACAACAACAACAACAATAATAATAATAATAATAATAATAATATAAGAATATTATTTAATAAACTTTTAAAATTATACAAAAAATAGAAGTTTTTAATTTTAATTTTCAAGAATTTTGAATGACACGTTTGTATCTTTTTTATTTATTATATTAACAAAGATGATGTCCAAACTGGTGAAGCTACCATGGTTCTAAAAAATATAACTGGTCATCAAACTGGTGAAGCTACCGCCTACCGGTTTAATAGTTCAATAGTCGAACTGGTCGAACCGGTTTTAGTTGATATATAATATTTTTTATTTTTTTATACGTATAATATAATATATAATTTTATATAATTTTATGATTAATTTTATAGTGTTTAATGACATTCATCTAAATAAGAGTTCAATTATAGATATAGCCGACAATATTGAATAACGTTGATAATTTTTTTTACAATTTAAATTTTAATGTTAATACAAGTGTAACGCCCGACCGACTGAGAACCACTTCGAGCTTGCCTTCACCGCCGGCAGAATGTCGAACCTGCACGAAATTTTCACACCAGAGGAATTTTCTGGTGAAGAACCTCCAACGCTCAAGTTAGTATAGAGAAGATGAAGAATATTATAAGTGATAATATGTAAAGAGTGTATGAGATTGTGTGTAAAAATGAGGAATTTCACCCCTATGTATAAGGGTGAACTACCTGCCCTAGGTGCGGCCTGAACCAGGTGAGCTGACTGCCCCAACTGCCCGATCATACAATCCATTGCCTCCACTATCTCTACGTCAGGAATGTGTCCGAATGTGTCAGAAATCGTTACTAGCGTAGACCAATCGACGTTCGTCGCGTGTCCTCTGCGCACATGCTGGAGATTCCTTTGGAGGCTCTGATATTCGACCAAATCTGGGTTGACTGCTGAGCTGCCCTTAGGGTATAGGGTGGTCAATCTCACGACCATTTATATTCGTCTGCGAGGTTCTTCGTCCAGGGCTTTGTGAAGCGTTACTTTCCCAGCGCTCCTAGATCCGCGTAGGTTTAACTTCTAATCTTTATCGTTCAGCGTGTATTCTTTTCGATCGGGCCAGCTGGTCCGGTTTATTCTTCCTTCGCCCACCGGGTCGGTTCAATATATAATATCCCATAATAAATGTTATTTCATTATTTTATACAATGGACCTTAGGCAACTAGAATCAATGAGACTTCAAACGTGAGCAAAATATGATAAAAAGTTGTGTGTCATTGGCATTATTTCAGCCATAGGCAATAGCATTTATTTGTGAAAATTGAAATCCCACATCGAAATAATGCATATCAAATTTCTGTTATTTATATGATCCCCAACTAGACCAATGTAAGTATAAAAACAGAACTTGTTGGACCGCTAGACAGTTGTCGGTTTATCAGTTTAGCAGTTTTGACTCGGTTGCAACAGTTCACAGCCAGTTTGAACTCCAACGGTTGCATACCTCAAACCGGACCGTTGGGCTGGTCGGTTCCTAGTTGAACCGGCCGGTTCGGTCCAGTTTTCAGAACCTTGCGAATTATCACCAGCCTGGAGCATTGATGACCTGCAATGCCAGAGAGAGGTCCTGCAGTTGACACTCTCATGATCAAGTTAAGTATGTGCTTGAGGAAGTATACCGATTCTAAATTAGAATACCACCAGCCTAGAGCATCGATGACCTGCAATGCTAGAGAGAGGTCCTTCCGTAGACACTCTCATGATCAAGTTAAGTATGTGCTTGAGAGAATATATCGATTCTAAATTAGAATGACGCATGTATGTAATGTGTTAATAAAATAATTTGACTACCTTTATATACTTAGGGTATCTTGTCCTCTAAGAGAGTCTAGTTAGAAAAAAAGATCCTCTCGTATCTACTTTTCTAACTTATCACGTCTTCAGGATCTAAGACTCTTAAGCATAATACATTTTTCATCGATGAAGGATGTTTCCCCTCTCGGCCTACGGCTCCTAGGTCCCAAGGTCGTAACCACAACCTCCTAACATATCTATCGTAAGTTGTACCTAGGTTGCAACCGGGACCTCCACCCTCACGACCTACAGGTCATGAGGTCCCATCAAGTACCCGAGCTCCTTAGGTTCTCTGACCTCCGAGCTATCCAAATTGGATCAACATGTACCATGAGCTGCCTAAGCGAGCTTCCTGACGGGTATATGTATCGACAACAGGCTGAGCTTTCTTGAACCGGCAATGACTGAGCTAACCGTTCTAGCCGATTCACATATAGGTCCAGGGACGGAGCTACATGGGGCCCAGGGGGGTCCTGGGCCCCCCTCATTTTTTCAAAAAGAAAAATCAATATATATATATATATAAATAATTTACAATATACTAATAATTAAAAATCAATATATGTATAAATAAAATAGTATAAAATATGTATAGAAATGTAAAAAATATTTACAATTTAGTACTTATTAACACTTAATTCATATGATATTTTTATTTAAATTAATAAAATTATTTATTTATTGAAAAATATAATAACAATCCTTATATTTTAAATTTTTAGATAAGCTTTTGAAAATATTTATAATGATTTACTCTTTTGGTTTCTTAATTGTAAATTGATTTAGTGATTATAAAACTGAGTATTTATTGATTGGATTGTTACATTTTTTAATGTTGATTTTATACTCTTTCTTTGTGTAATCATATATTTTAACCTTATTTAAAAAAAAAAAATGTTTGTTTGATAAGATTTCATTAACAAAAAAATCCTATGGAATGTTGTGTAAAAATTTAATTTAAATCAAATTTTTAATCCAAAAACTTATTTTTTCGATGTTGATTTTAAATATAATTATATAAATTACATGAAATCTTTCTTCTTCTTTTTTTTTTTTTAAGTTTGAGGGTGATACGGTTTCTAAGTTTTTAAAACTTGATGGTACACGTATTGATATTTTTAATTATAATAAATATATTTTTATATGAAATGAGTGTTTCGATTTAAACTAAAAGCCCGTTATTTAACTTTTAAAATTGGGCCCCCCTGAATGAAATTTCTAGATCCGTCACTGTATAGGTTCCTAGGTCGTCTAGCCTGTCCAGAGGTGATTAACTTCCCAATCTCCTAGCCCACCTAATATGTCAAGATGTCGTCTATTTGTACGAGCGACTAAATAACTACATAGGCAAAAATCTTGGTGTCCAGGTGCCGAGAGCCTGACTTATTTTTTGACAAAATGAGTAGAATTGGGAAAGAAGGATAGTGGTGAGTCGATTATGCGTGGAATAACTTGATATGTGTTTTGAATTGTGCTGCTTTAAGTTGCGGGGATTTTCAGGTTGGATTTCGACTATAAGAATTTTGGAGGAACATAAGATTTAGAATTTAAGAAACGGAGTACATTTATTTTTCTTCTCGAAAATGGTTGTCAATATTATTTTCTTGGGGACAAGAATAAAGCTTAGTATGAAAAACTTATATGATTTGTTTTGTAGTCGTTATTGCTAATTCTTGTGTTTTCGTATTTTTTTTTTGTATTTTGTTATACCTTTTTATCTCTATTTATATTTATTTTATATGAAGATGCATTTCGAATTTTTTTTTTGATGTCACCGGTTTCCTGATTGGCCGCTGGAATTTTTTCGAACACATGAGTCGTGAGTACCGCTCGTAGCCCACAACCCGCACGTCAACGCCTCAAGACCCATCGCCTTCGAGCACAGACCCACATCTTGAACACTAGTTCCCGAACACAACACCCACCAAGTACTCGCAGGTCGTGGGGACCCAACCAACACTAGTTCCCTCCTGCGCCAAGCCATCGAGTGCTCATGAGTTGTGACTAACACATGACCCGAAGTTCTTTACTATTAATGTGTATGCGTAATTACTGTTTTTAATTCTATGTCGGGTATAAATACACTTGTTCTTAATTATTTTGGGAGGATACTCTTATTTTATCTCTAGATTTTGGTTTTCATTTCTCTCTCTTTATTTCACTCTTTAAGTCAAACTCAATTTTTTATTGTTCTATTTTTCTATCAATATTGTAACATTTTGGTTTGGTATTATTACTCTTGGATGATACTTGTGGTTATAAAGTTTGCAAGTTTCAATTTCTCAATCTGCATCTTTTTTTTTTCTTTTTGTTAAACTTTAAATCTTTCTTGAATACACACTATCTTGACATGTAGTACAACAGTTGGTATAGTTGCTCGATTATGTTATACCATTGAATTTGGTCAATTGCATGTTTCTGAACCCTAATTATTACAGTTCCGTTGACGGAATAGTTCTCAGTAGTCGTTATCGTACTTTATTCACACAAAAAAATCTATATGTGTATCCAATGGTGAAAAACTCACCCGTAACGGGATCTTAGAATTTTTCTAAATTAATGGTACGGCATTTTAGTCGGATATACGCAGTTAAAACGATAAGGAAGATCGCTCTAACTACAATGGTGAAAAACTCACCCTTCCTTTCAGACAGACATGAATTGGTATTCATTCGTCTCTCCCTATCGCGTTTCTTCTAAAAGTCTAAAACCAACCTTTTCATTTGCTGTGAAAACGAAAATTCGAGTATCTAGCTCAGGATAGTCGGAATCTGAGCTCAGAGGCAGTTCACTGTCACTAGGTCAGTGTATCGACTTGTCGGAATTTCTAGTTTTTTTGTTCACTCTCCGGTGCCTCTGCCTGTGTTGCACTTTCAATCAAATTCTTAGGTCTTTCTTAGCTGGGACTCTGTTTATTTGTATTTGCTATTCAATTCTGTTTGCTATGTATAGAATATTCCTCATCTTTTGGTGACTCAATGAAATTTTCCATTTTTCTGTCATTTATTTTGTTTGAATTTTTCCCTTCGCGGTATTTGATTGATCAGATAATGCTTCTGTTCTTCTATGACTATATGGAATTGATGTTCTGTGCTAATTTCAAATGGGTTTATAACTTGATTTGCTAGTTGAGTGAAAAGTTGAAATATACGAGATGTGAGCCGGTATAACGAAGAATATTAAGGTTTGTATGGTCTGTAGGACTTGCCCTTTTCCAGAATAAACAGCATTGCACTTAGGATTAGGATTGTGACACTTTTTTTGTCCAGACTCCAGATGGTGCAGATGTTTCTAAAACGAATGATTCATCTGTATTTTGAATTTAGCATTCGTATTCTTGTACTCTACTCCACTTTGCTGATGTTTAGAAATATTTTTCAGCTTTAGTATGCCTCGGGACACTGTTGCTAGTGCTGAATCACCGAGAAGACGGACAGGTCTACTAAGAGATCAGGTCCAATTGGTTAAGAGAAAAGATTCTGTTAGGTATGAGATTGTTCCCATCCAAGATCCTTTGTCCTTTGAGAAGGGGTTTTTCGCAGTTGTTCGTGCATGCCAGTTATTGGCTCAGAAGAATGAAGGCATGATATTAGTTGGGATAGCAGGTCCCTCCGGGGCTGGAAAGACAGTGCTTACAGAAAAGATCTTGAACTTTATGCCCAGCATTGCTATTATAAATATGGATAATTACAATGATGCAAGCCGCATTATTGATGGCAACTATGACGGTAAACTCAAGAAACGTTGTTGTTGCATCTTATTCGTGTTTACGAGCTGCTCTTGTGACTTTTTAGCAACTTATGAATATGTTAGCTTGTCTCGAAATAAATCTTATGCTCTAAGAAGTATTTACTCTTTGTTTCGAAGTTAATCTTATTCTTTTTTATTTGCCTTTTGCTCACTGCATTTTATGGTTTGACAAATTAGGTTATTGGATGGAAATCGTAGTCGATGTTGTTAATCTCCCCTATATATAATTCCCGAATGCGCTGAGCCTACGTGGCTGTCTCTGGCGCTTCGGAATCCTACTTGGCGAAGAATCATGCTTCGTAATTAGGTTTGGACAAATAATGTTGATATATTAATAATTAATAATCTAGGTTCGGACATTCCATAAGTATTGTTTAGCTAACTTAGGTATTTTAATATCACTTGTACTAATATAACCTTTTAATTCCTTGTAATTTTACATAGTGAGGCACTAAGTGACTAAGAGCATCTCCAATGCTCTAATGTTGTTGTAGAATAATTCTTGACAAATGTCAATAAATTAAATAGATTGTGAACCATGTAGGAATAATGATAAGTTTACAACTATGAAATTGAAAAATTATCTCCAATGCACAATGTAATCTAACTACAATTCTAGTTATTACCAAATATAAAATTTTATAATATAAAATAAGAAATTTAATTAAATAATTAAATTGTTTGAAATAGGTAAGAATTATTCTCTCTCTTCTCTTTATTGGCTACCTAGAATGTGGAGGAGAATGTAGATGAACAACATCCTTCTCTACACTGTAGACATTAATTATGTCCACATCATCACAACATTTGTGATCACATTTTATATTGGAGGATAAAAAATTGTGATATTGCTAAATGTGTTGATGTGGAATGTAATTTCTACAACAACATTTGAGCATTGGAGATGCTCTAATATATCCGTAACTTCTGATTTGCTTCCTACAATTAACTATTGAATTGTAAATATATTTTAAAAGTTGATAACTTGTGTATTTTTTATTGGTTTTACATATATCATATATCAAATTAATCATCTTTTGATGATCTTCGATTTGACATCCATATTGTATATATGACATAAATAAATTATATTTAACTAATAATAAAAAATAATTATATTTACTAAAATTCATTAGAAAAATAAAATTATTTTTCAATTGATATATTTATGTTTATGTAGTTACATGTTGTAAGTTAAAAAAAATTATTATAATATAACACAGGTAAGTCGCACAAATAAAAAGATTCATACTAAATATAATTTATAAAAGGTATTTAAATTTTCATTTGTTTTTTCTCATTAATTTTAGATTTTAAGAAAAAAATTAGCAAACACGTGTAATACACGGGCGTTGTACTAGTATTAAATTGAATCCAGTGAATTTCCTCTAACAATTAAGGGCTTGCTTTCTGCAATTGCAAGGTTTCGTCAGTATAAACCAACTTTCTTCTCTTATGAACTTAGATGAAAAAACAAGAAACGTAAAAAACTATATATGAGTTGGTTAGTGGAAGTGCTCAAATGATAATCCAATAGTAAACTTTGGCTGGTCTTGTGGCAAGGAAAGTCTAGCGTGTTATGATTTTTATAAACACGACTAGCGTGATGTTTGCTTTTCTTCATGGTTCGTGAGTGAGAGATACATTCTTGCCTGTTTTGCTTGAACGATCAGCATTTCAGAGTAATTTTGGCACTTGAGGTCCCTTTTGTAGTTGGAAAATCTGGCTTTGCTATTTTAACTTCAAAGTATCAGTTTAGAATCAAAACCTGAAAGTCCAAAAGATAACAAATGTTTGCAGGACAGCTTATCTGACCTTTTGGCTGTCATGTTACCTCCCAACAGTGAACCATATACTATTATGACCAAGTGGTTTTATTCTGTAAAGTAATCCTTCCCCACAGTCACATTTCAGGATTTTCTGTGATAAAATTTGAAAGTTGTGCAAACGGCCATTTGCAGAAAATAATGGTATCTTCACAGGAGACATTCTCCTCTGATGGTTAGGCACTGACCATTCGAAGTCACTTCTCGAAGTCTGTCGTTTGGCTTCTGCTGAGTGGAGCTTGCCAACTCAGTCTGCCTCAATTTTCTGCCACTTTTTTGTCCCGACTCTTATGATTATTAGATTAAGTTCTTATGAGTCAATGACTGCTGACTTTAGCCTCAGTTTGAGAAGTCTTAGCAGCACTTAATAGATAAACACATTTTTTTTCCTCTAAGCTCGCTCGCTTCAGGACTTCAACTTAGCACAAGTCTGCTAAAAGTTTAAGAGCAACCCCCTGCAGAGTTTCCTTAAAAAATGAACATTACAACCGAATAATGGGGTGCCTAATTTCCTAATACATTATTGCCAGCTTGTTCAAAATTTATCTAATTGAAACAATGATCTTACTTACTAGATAGATAATCAGCCTATAGTCAGTGATGTGAATCCAACCAGTTGGTAGAGACAGTTGTTGCATTAATTTGTTTCAGTGTCCAGTTGGCAAATATCCTTTCTATTTAATGTAGTATAGTTTATCAGTTTATTATCTTTTAGTTTTGGTCCACCAATTTATCTGACATGGTGACGTTATACCTGAAGCATATATACTTAGGGCCATTCCCATTCACATTCCCCTTCCCCAACCCCAACTCTCCATTGTTAACTGGTATGGAGAACACTGTTTACGTGGGGTATGTCGTGACGGATCTTATGTAATAAACTTGCAATATAGAGTCTGAATTGAGTTCAATAGTTCATTAACTAGTTAATATTGAGCTGTATAAAAGACAAATACCCAATATAACTGTTCTTCGTATCTTTTTGAACAGACCCGCGCTTAACAGATTATGACACTCTGCTAGAGAATATCCATGATCTGAAAGCAGGAAGTGCAGTCCAAATTCCCATTTACGATTTTAAATCCAGCTCCCGTGTTGGCTACAGGTCTACTACTTTTCACTTTGTGACTCATTTTTAGGCCTCTGTTATTTCCTATATGAGTATCTTCATTCTTTTCCATGTTGAGCAGAACAAATCCATGAATTTGTTTTCGTGGGGATGGTAGTGTTCATCGTAATTATAATTCTCAGAACAAAGCATGACTTAAGTAGTGAATAAAAAATAACCATACAACATAATTCCCTCAATTATTGGTGCAGCTTATCCTAATCTCGTTGTGTTGAATAAGTGTACTGTAAGTCTGTAATACCTAATTTTTTTTATTTAAAATAAAAAAAAAAAACAATGGAACAGTAATGTAGTAAAACCATGATTTGAAATTCTTTCCCATAAAAAAAAAAGTAATATATCTATGTGGCCTATGTCTCTCCACCCGGACTAGTTAGTATTGTCAATTTCTTTTGTTAAGCAGGACACTGGAAGTTCCATCTTCTAGAATTGTTATTATCGAAGGAATATATGCCTTGAGTGAAAAATTAAGGCCCTTGCTAGATCTTCGTGTATCTGTGACTGGAGGTGTGCACTTTGACCTTGTTAAACGTGTTATGAGAGACATTCAACGTGCTGGACAAGAGCCTGAAGAGATAATTCATCAGATATCAGAAACGGTGCATTGCTTTCTTCCGTACATATTAGATATGCTCAAAATTCTAATGTAAATCTATGATTACCAGATGAATTGAAATGATCTCTCTTACATACTCCCTTCATGCAGGTGTATCCCATGTATAAAGCTTTTATAGAACCAGATCTACAAACAGCACATATAAAAATAATTAACAAGTTTAATCCATTCACTGGATTTCAAAATCCCACATATATATTAAAGGTGAGTCCTCTAATTCTTGTACTAATTGACTAAACATTGCTGCAAATATGCATCTCATTCTGACAACAAGGTTTTCCCTTTTGCTTAAGTCAACAAGGCTAGTGACAGCTGATCAAATTAAAGCTGTTCTTTCTGAAGATTATGATGAAACTACTGAGCAAACTTATGATATTTATCTTCTCCCGCCTGGTGAGGATCCTGAAGCATGCCAATCTTATTTAAGGATGAGGAACAGGGACGGCAAGTACAGTCTTATGTTTGAGGTTTGTTTGGAAATTCTCAGCTTCCTTTTATTTGTTTTTCCTTATTCAACAACTAATCGCCATTAACCTGCCCGAAACACTATTAGAAACACCCACTCTATTACGTAATCGTTCCTTTTCCAGTTACTTTAGTGTCTCCTGTTATAAGATGCCATTCTGATTCATTGTTTAGGTGGTCGACTCGGAAAATGCATATTTATATCTATTATCTCTCCCTTGAAAATGTATATTTGTGGGTATCTCAGAGTTATGACTGATGAACTTCTCTTAAAATGTTGCTTCCGTAAATGGCTCACATGGCATTTTTAACTTCTGACAAAATGGGCTATTGGAGCATGCCGTGTCTCTGGAACTGGAGGATTTCAACATCTAATGCATATGAAACAACAGTGAAAATTCCCCAACCCACTATTTTGGCTGATGAGATTATGGCCATAAACTTAGAATTTTGCATATAATACTGGTGGTAACATCTGTTTGGAGCAAAGAATCAGGAAAATCTTGGTTATTGAAAAAAGGGTTTATTGATGATAAATAAGAACAAGTGACAAAAGTGATTAACCCTCTCCCAGCAGATACGTCCCCAGTCAGAATTAATTTGCTCAACAGCCTAAGCTATTACAAAATATATCTCGCAATATTCTCATGACCAGTCTAGTTGTACTAACTTATTACAAATTAGAAAAGGTAATAACAAATAGAAAGGTCAGGGAAACCACTGGCTGATTTACTAGGATCTTATAAGTTACTAGCCATAGCTTTAATTTATTCTAGGATCCAATAAAACACGGTACCAATATCCTTAGGTAAGTTTTCAAATTTGGATGTTCAATCACTTTAATTTTTTATTCAATATTATTGCTTATCTGTCATTTGGCGTTGGTCCCTTTGTAGTTCCATGGTATAGGTTGATGACTTGAAGTTTGGACTATTCTCGGAAATTCCGTGTTATCAAATGGCGGCTGCTATGGCGGAATTTTGGCCTGCTGCCATCCGCCATTTAATAACACTGCAAAATTGTTTCTTGCTATTGAAGTGGTATTAAATTATGATTTTATGAATATTAGGAAGTACCATAACATGCTTTCAGGAATGGGTGACCGATAGCCCTTTCATCATATCACCGAGAATTACTTTTGAGGTCAGTGTACGTCTTCTGGGTGGGCTAATGGCACTTGGGTATACAATTGCATCCATCCTCAAAAGAAGTAGTCACGTCTTCTCCAATGACAAAATTTGTGTAAAAACTGATTGGCTGGAGCAACTTAATCGTAACTATGTCCAGGTAAGGGGCCCAGCTACTAGTTTGCTCTATGCTATCTTAAATATTTTTTAGGTTGATTATTACTATAGACACTTCTATCAATGGGATATGCTATTTTCAGTACTTGGCAGTATGTTGAATCTGTTGGCTATTTCACTTGTATCCATATGCTCTTGAAAAGCATCTTCTCATTTGGTTCAATAATTTGCGTGTCTCTCCATATTTTGATTCTTGCTATGCAGAAAATGTAAATCTGTGTGATTTGATTAATATAAATTTCACCCACAGGTACAAGGGAGAGATCGTTTATATGTCAAATTTATTGCTGGGGAGTTGGGTCTGGATGGTTCCTATGTTCCACGCACATACATAGAACAAATTCAATTGGAGAAACTCATAAATGATGTTATGGTTTGACTCCTTCCAAAGAATTACGACCCTTATTTTTTTCATAAAATTGTCGTCCATCTTCATTATTCTCATTCCCAAAGCATACAGGCTTTGCCTGATGACTTGAAGGCGAAACTCAGTATAGATGATGATTTGGTTTCAAGTCCTAAAGAAGCTCTATCCAGAGCCTCAGCAGATAGGAGAATGAAGTTCCTCAATCGGTATATGCTTTCGTTTATAGAAAAAGATTCTAAGAAGTAGACAGTACTGGTAGCTGCATCTAGCTTTAGTTTACTGCTTTCCTAGTTCCTACCAATTTTCTGAGTCCTCTTGAGTTTTGCCTTCTTTCATTGTAATATTCATGATCTTAACATATTTGTGCACAATTCATTCAGGAGTTTTATCATCTTCTGAAATATAATTAATTCTTTTATTTCCCACAGTGGGATTTCTCAGTCCTACGCAACACAGCGTGATAAAAGTATGAGCAAGCTGACAAAACTTGCTGTAAACAATAGAAGTTACAATGTAAGAACCCCAGATTCACCAGCTGCACTTGCTAACCAGGTGATTGTTCGATTTTTGGTTTAAAATTTTTTCTTTTGGTGTTCTCCTATCGTTGAGTGGTTGTGAACCTGGACCTTATGATTGTATGTTTGATTATATCCTCTTCATCTTGTTTAAGTTTTCTTATCTGGTAAGCGCGACTTTACTTCAGATGACATATCATACCTCCATTTACCATCCTTTCCTTATTGGCACAACTATGACAAGCGAAACATTAAATAATCTGAAAATATAATGAAGAGATGTTAGAACTTCATCTTAATTGTTATAGAAAACTTCAAACTTTAAATGACTGACAGGAAGAGTCCAAAACAAATTTGGAACTTCAAAATAGCTCGTTGGAAAAACCATCAATAGACAAGATAATGGCCGAAATGTGCCCTTAACTCTTAATTCTTACTGCATAAAAGTACCTGCATTTTTTTAGTTTCGCATATTATTTATGTTGAATCTGTTTGGTGCATACCACATCGCTAGTGCTTTTATATCCATGATTCTACCACTCATATGTATTTAATGTACCTTTGCCTTCTGAGTTCTCATACATAATGCTTAAATGTTTGTATGGCTCAGTATTTGTGGCTTTATTGATGGTTGTGGTTGATCTCATATTAATATGTTTGACATTAAATTTGTAGCTTATATAGCAGTATGTTTTATGTTGACCATTTTTCAGTTGAGATTTTGCATAATTGTTACAGGGTATGGTTACCCAGCTATCTGAACAAATATCTACACTCAATGAGCGAATGGATGAGTTCACATCACGAATCGAAGACCTAAACTCGAAGTTTCTAACAAAGAATTTCTCCCAACAAAATTTGGGAGGTGTACAAAATGAAGCCTGCGTTTCTCTTCTACCGAATTCCTCTTCATCTTCGCAATTGGCGAGGGAATCTCCTGTCATGGAAGAGGTAATTCTAGTAATATTGCATGTTTTTTGTGGTGAAGTTTCATAATTTAGTGCACAGCTGCTAAAAGTTCATTTCCATTAATCAGTTCTGTCAATTGGAAACAGGTGTTATTTATTGCTCGTGCACAACGTCAAATCTTGCATCAGATTGACAATCTGAGCAGTCTCCTCCATGAGTGCTATGGGGAAAGATCTCGTCAAGATGAAACGAATCGGAGGGGTGGGTTATCAGACGTGACCATTCCCTTGCTTCTCTCGTTGGCTGTTGCTGGTGTAGGGATTGTGTTGTTTAGATCCGTCTCTTCTCAAAAATAATGTTACGTTTCATATCACTGAGAGGGACTTTTGTGTTTATGTGAACGTGCACACTCGGCTTTCTTATATGTGTTGTTGGTCCACAGTTAATCAAGCCCATGATTTGACGGGGGTGGGGGAATAGAAGAAGAGAGGAATAAAAAAAAATAAATTATATATGAACATTTTGAATAAATACTAACCTTTTTTAAAATATTGCACATGTACAAAAAGATGCACTTCTATTGTAAATTTACTAGCTATTTGTTCTTTTAGTTTATTTGTAATTTATAACATGTTTATATTATCAAATATCATTATATGGCTAAAAAAATATGTTCATATACAAATCATAAACTAATAATAATCGTCAAATAAACATTGAAATTCGTAATTTCTCAAATAAATTATCAAATTCGCGATCGACTGAAACCTTAAAACCTCCAATTTCCCCTCAATCGTCCAAGCACACAATTGACGATATTTCGAGGCGGGCGATCAAAGGAAGTCATCGTTGTCGTTGGAGTCGGTGAGGAAGCCGTTCACCGCTACCCTCGATCAATCGAAGTCGCTAGGGTGTTATCCCCCTTCTCCCTAGAAACCATAAATCCCATTCCCCTCACTTCTTCACATGCAGAGCAGACCAACCATGATATATAACTTTTCTTCTGTTTGTAGGAGGCTGTGAGAGGAAAAAAGGGAAGAGGTGGTGGTTTCAGCGGAAAAGAAGAGATGGCACGGGAGAGGTGGTGGTTTCAACGGTGGAAGAGGTGGTGGTTTTGGCAGAAGGGGAGACAGTGCCATGAATAGAGTCGGCAAAAGAGGATAAATGAAAGGTGGAAGTTGGTATGTTAAAGACCTCCGACCGGATGGTATCATCCTAATCTTGAGCTCCTCCACCGGTTGAACGCCTTTGGACCAGCAAAACTCTCACACCGAAGGGGTTTTTCATTGAAGAACATCTGATGTTTAAGTTAGCACTTGTGGAACATGAAGTACAGTATGTAAAGTATGCAGAGAGCGTAATGTAATTCAGGGCATACCTCATTCACTTATATAGGAAGATGATATCTTGCTGCCCAAGCCTGCCCACACGCTCAGACTACCCGTTCATACTACCTGAGCTACCCGAATTTCCCAAACTGCTCGATTCTGTTAGTCCACGTGACCCTATCCATGCGGAGTTTAATCTTAATAATATTCTTTTTTATTATTTATTCTTCTTCATTAGACGGTCTAACCGTACGACTGGCCATGATTGCCTCGAGGTAGAGTACCATCTGTGTTGAGCTCTACTGTTACGCCCATCTTGTCAATCCTTCGGCTAGATGATCCTTCATGTTGAACTTCAACCAAACCATCTGAGGGCCTAATTCGACCTGCTGGTATCTTTTGCATCTTTGACATCTTCTTCGACCTGGGAATCCTTCGACCTGTAAGTCCTCATTCTCTGTTCGACCTGATGAGTGGACCGGTTCAGTTCGGTGTTTTCCTCGGTCTAGTCGACCTAGTACAGTTATCTCATATCATCTGGTCCTCCCACCTCTGATCGACTTGAGATGACTTGATCCAAGAGTGAGTTTGGTTGTTCTTTGATTCTGGCATTACCTTTTTCCTTATTTTTTCGATCTTCCTTTCGGCTCTTAAGTCATTACCGTGTCTTTACTCTATATTTTGCCGGGCTTTTTTTCTTCTTAAATGTTTGAATTTCAAATGGTTGCCACGCGTCTGCGCCTGTCTCGTCCAACCAACTTGTCGCCATGTACCCAATTCATCCCAAGCGTCCATCTTCTAACACTTCGCAGTCCGTGCGACCCTTGTGCAACGCACCCCATTAATCAACTTAATCTTCTCCATTCATTTCCACTTTAATCCTACAACTACAAATGATTGACCTTTCCATCTCCAATATTATTCTCCCTATAAAATGATGTTTCCCTCGCTTGTGTTAGGTTTTCTCACTTCTGCAGAATTTAATCAGTATATCTTTCTATTTTTTCTTATTCTTCGCAAGCTTAAGCACCAAAGATACATTTTTTAATATTTATAGTCGTACACAATTGTGAATTTTTACTTATTAATATGCCTTTATTGATTTTTTTTTTTATAAATTGCGTATTTGTCCTATGAAAAAAAAGGGGTTTTTTCAATACAAGGCCCGAAAGATAGGTAAACTATCAATTCGGGACCTGAAAGATTTTTTTTCTCAAAAAATTAATAAATTTTTTTGAAATTACAATTAGGTCCTTGATAGTTATCTAATATTTAAAAAAAATCCTAATCAAACAAGTTGTAGGCCCGTCTATGTTCAGGCAGCTCATCCCCGACTCGACTGCGACCGCGATCCGCCGAGGCCCACCGACCTCAACTCGTCTTAGGTAGGTCATCTCTGTGAGCATCGTCGCCCTCCCCTTGATCATCGCCACGTGGATATGGTCCTCCCATCGGCATCCAAGGCGGACCAGGCAGCCGCAACGCCGAACAGGAGGAGCTCCCCTACGACTCTTCCATGGCCCCTGTTGGCCACCAAGTGAAAGATCGTGTGCTCACTTGCGTTGGGCTCGTCGACGACCTCGGGCCTCCGAACGGCAGGTTATTGATGTTGGAAAATCAGTAATATAAAATTGTGTATGACCTGATTTTGACTGATTTGTTGATGGCTAAATATTTAATTCGGATTGAATTAAATTGTGTAGAATAAATTCTACGTTCCGAGTAGAAACTCGTAGTATATTTGATTTATCAATACTGATTTTTGGTGAGTGAAAAATAAATGTTAGCCTTAAATGGGCACGCAGAACGTTGGTTGTGGGATTCGAATGGTTAAAAGTCTTATCCCACAGAGAACTCTTGAATGAGATTAACTCTCTTTATTATGATAAAGAGAGTTGGAGAGGTCACAACAATAACAAAGTTATCTACCATATGTTGGTATATAAACCGAGTAGGTTTTGGACTTGGGTTTCGACACAACCCGTGTGACATCGTTCCAGGTACATTGAACCTGGACGTGTGACCTTTTCAACCACATAACAGTTTCAAGAGTTATGAGGTGAATTAATGGTGAGTTAAACCTGGAACGTTTTGCAATTAAAACCAAGTCATGAATGGATGTTAATGGCTTGGTGGTTACAGGCCATGAATGGTTTTTAATGGAGCCATGAATGGTTGTTAATAGCTTGGTGGTTACAAGTTTTGAATAGTCATCAAAACTGGCCATGAATGGCCTTTAATGGCTTAGTGGTTACAAAATGAAGAGCCATCCCCCACCTAGGTGGAAGTCCTATAAATAGGACAGTGTAGAGACTGAATGAGAAAGGAAAGTACACAACATTTTCATGCAATCTGAATACTCTCAAAGCCTCACGCATCATATCATAGTGCTCTGTTCTTGTCTTCAAATCCGTTCGCTGGAACTCTGAAGTCTGGTGTGCTACAGCTTCCGAGTGTATTGCCGTTGTATCTTTGGGGACATTACGCACAGACCCGTCAGCACTATACGGGGCGTATTTGTCTTGCGGAAAGATTTCAATTGCCTCGGCTTTTAATCTGTCCGCATTTGAGTTGTAATTTTTATTTTGTTCATCTTATACGAACTGAACACTTCAGTCAGTTCATAGGTTCCCGTTGTAATTCAAAACACACTTTGTGTAACAATCGCAAGACAAATATACGACACCTACTGAACTGATGGCATCCACCGGAGAAGGTTCCAGCTCTCAGCAGCCGATCAATCATGTACCTGTTGTCCATGTTCATTCAACGGGCTTGACTTTAAGGCTGGGGCAAGGAAAGGTAAATCGAGTGCCCTTGTGGCTGAACACGTCCATGTGCCGGGTGAAATGACCGATTTTGATATGTCGGTTGTGGTGTTTGAAGCCAATTTGGTGGATAACCCAAGAGAGTGGTTCATCGATACTGGTGCCACTAGGCATGTGTGTTCTGACATGGAGGTGTTCTCTGAATACACTCCTGCTACGAGTCGGAAACTTCACATGGGAAACTCCTCCACGTCTGATGTGGCTGGAGTGGGAACTGTGGTGCTGAAGCTCACTTCTTGAAGGGAGTTGAAGCTGAAGGATGTTCTGCATGTCCCAGACATCCGCAAGAATTTGGTCTCCAGATCACTTCTTGTTGAGCATGGATTTAGGCTGGTGTTTGAAGCTAAGAATTTTATTCTTAGCAAGAATGGAATATTCCTTGGTCGTGGTTATCTCGACAAGGGATTGTTCAAAATGAATGTAATGACCGTGAGCCGTGTAACCGTTGATAAAAAAAGCCTATTTCTGTTTATACTGTTGAGTGCTCTGATTTATGGCATATTACATTAGGACATGTGAATCTAAATGCAATTAAACGGTTGATGAACTTAGAATTAATTCCTAATTCTAAAATTGAATCACGCAAAAAAAAAAAAAATGTGAAATTTGTGTTGAAGCCAAAATGGCTAAATTACATTTTCACTCGGTGGAAAGAAATACTGAACCGTTGGGTTTAATCTATACTGATGTATGTGAATTGAAGTTTGTGCAAAGAAGAACGGGTAAATGATATTTTATAACTTTTATTGATGGATTGCACAAGGTTTTGCTACTTGTATCTTTTAAGAAGCAAAGACAAGGTTGTGGAAGATTTTAAAAATTATAAGACCGAAGTTGAAAATCATCGGCAAAAAGATTAAAATAATCCAAAGTGATAGGGGTGGGGAGTATGTAGCTCCTTTTGAACAAATATGTTCTGAATATGGTACAATTCATCAAACGACAGCCCCCTATTCTCCACAGTCGAACGGTGTTGCTGAACGCAAGAACCGGACTTTAAAAGAGATGATGAATGCCATGTTGATAAATTCAGGACTACCCCAAAACATGTGGGGGAGGCTGTTTTAACAGCAAATCATATTCTGAATAAAATACCACCTAAAGGAAAAAATGAGACTCCTTACGAAATGTGGAAAAATCGTAAGCCGTCTTATAAGTACCTGAAAGTGTGGGGGTGTTTGGCTAAGGTTTCAGTTCCTGAACCAAAACAAATGAGAATCGCACCTAAGACGATCGATTGTATTTTTATTGGATATGCATACAATAGTAGTGCATATAGATTTCTGGTTCATAAATCAGAAAATTCGGAGGTATCGGTTGGTACCACTATTGAGTCGAGGAATGCTACATTCTTCGAGAATATTTTTCCTTTAAAGGAAAGGGCAGAATCTAGTTCTAACAAAAGGACGTATGAAACTGGTAGTGGTTCTCTACCAGAGGGTACTGATGAAGAACCGAGACGTAGTAAAAGGGTAAAAACGTTAAAAACGTTTGGACCTGATTTTATTACGTACATGTTGGATGATGAACCGAGTTCCATTAAGGAAGCTCTGTCTAGCCCAGATGGACCACTCTGGGAAGAAGCTATAAATAGCAAAATCGAGTCCATTATGCAAAATCATACTTAGGAGTTGGTTGATCTCCCTGCGGGTTGTAAATCTTTAGGATGCAAGTGGATCCTAAAAAGAAAGTACAAAGCTGATGGAACGATTGATAAGTTTAAAGCAAGATTAGTGGTCAAAGGCTTTAAACAAAAAGAAGGGTACGACTTCTTTGATACCTATTCACCTATAACACGTATAACGTCAATTAGAGTGCTTCTCTTGATTGCTGCTTTGCACAATCTTGAGATTCATCAAATGGATGTCAAAACGGCATTCTTGAATGGTGAATTAGAAGAAGAAATTTACATGGAACAACCTGAAGGTTTTGTAGCACCTGGACCAGAGAAAAAAGTGTGCAAATTGATCAAATCCTTGTACGGA